AGCGGGTTAAATGAGAACGAGATGTCGCTAAGTGCCTATATACGCAACGATGATCTCGCACATGAACTTGAAGGAATTGACTCGCTACTCATTGCGACGTATCTCGACAAAAATGGGAGAAGGGGCTCATCTAACGCGCTGCAAACCCAAGTGCGGGATAGTCAGTGTTACGACCGAGAATCAAACACAACATCTTCCGAATTATACAAGTCTCAAGCAACGTCATCCGCGTATTATGGGTACGGAGGTATGAACTGGCTCGCAATAGCATCCAATGGGGGGGGGGGGTTTGCATGTGAATGATGATTAGATTTGCAGTTCCCTCACACCTGTCTTCCTCAGGTTTCTCCTAAACCTTATATTCGCGCGTATATTTCGTTTCTTACCGACAAAATCAACATCCAAAAATGTTTTCTCGTGATAATCTTCGCTATTTACGTACCCATGCATAACCGGATTTCATCCCTAAATCGTCTGTAACAAATTTCGAAAAAAAAAACACGTTTCATATTTCTTGATAAATTTCACGGTGACGTGGAGTTCAATGCTTATACGATAAATGGGATCATGCCTGGTTACAGTACTGGACATTATAAAGTACTCTGTGACCAATAGGGATCTGAATAGAGCAAAACACTCAGCATACGTTTTAAACATTCTGAATATGTATAGAATAAGTAGACCCGTTGTTTCCGTACCTGCTGGAATAAATCAGTCCTGTGAAAAAGTCAGAAAAAAAGAGCTCCTTGATAATGTCGAAAAAGAACCGATACGCCTACTTCCACTAAAAAAATTCATGAATATGCAGGCCCAGTCACATAAAATACGTACGCACTTTCATGCTACACTCATGGATATACTTTATAACCGTCAATCACAAACGTCAAGCACGTCTTATTTACGTTCCTCGGGGAGTACTGTGCCCGCATTACTGGGCTCCGTTATGACGCCATGGCCAGCATGAAATTCGCATTATTGCAGTTGTTCTTGCCGGTGTTACGTTATTCCTAGCGTTAATTTAGTTAACGGAAACAGAGTCCCAAGCTTCCCCGCCCGCCAGCCCGCCCTAAGGGGATCTTCGTGCCAACTTCCTAAGGTTGGCGAGCGTGTCAATTTCGCGTACGAAATAGCTTAACGTACTTCTTTCAATAACATTACATGCCTGCTAACAGGGCTGCATGTGTCTATGTAGCTTTCATCCACTACATCTTTTCAAGGAACAAGAACTACGGTTTACAGATATGTCCATTCTAAATATTACTTAAATTCAGTTGACACGTTTCTCTTAGAACCTGGCCTGCAGTCTGCAGCCACCTGCTCATGCTGATTCCTCGCTCACGGATTTTTCTGCCCTGAAGATGGAGGCGATACGTTCCACCGAAACGTCGGTTCACACAAGATCTACACGGCACAACCCAGACGAAGGAATTTTTCATAGTCACCGCCGTGAAAAACTCAAAATTTACTTTCCCAATATTCAAGAACACAGTACGAGTATGAAGGCAAAGTTGTCCCTGTGCTTAACTAATTAAGTGCTACACAACGAAGGCATATGGGGGTGTGGATGTATAGATCCACACACAGTATGAAGTATGGAGTAAAAAATCGGACATGAGATTAGTCACATGTTTTTGTTCAAACAGGCGATCTCTGGGTGATGTAATGACTCAAACAGCTTGTAACGGAATTAGAGAATTCCATATATTCCGGGCTGATGAACAAGCGGCTAGCATGAGATCCTACAAAGCCATCTTTCCGCACGCTTCTACTGACCTCCGGATGCCTTGCGACCCTGACTCTTTGAGCATGGCGTTACCAGTCAGTCAACCTCTGGAAAGGAGGTCTGACTGTCCACTGCGCTAACTACACGCGTCTGCCAACTCACCATTTCTGATATCCCATGGTTCATCACAGGAACTCGCCACCAGACCAGATATTTCCTGCGAAAATCGCGATTCCCGTCCCCAACAGATCTGCAGGCCAACAAAATAAAGATCGCGTGTAGTCCGTTGAAAGTCAACCGACGTTTCGGAGGAACATATCGTCCCCATCTCCAGGGTCGAATAAGCCGAGCAAGATACCAGTGTGAAGCATGTGACAAGCCGAGCAGACTGAAAGTCAACCGGGATTTTGGAGGACGGAGCCGATACGTTCCTCCGAAACGTCGACTGACTTTAAACGGGCTACACGGCGTTATATCCCAGAAAATCCTATAAACATCAGTGCCTAAGCGAGCCGCCTCTTGTTCCTATGCGAGAGTTATTTCAGCACACGATTGCTGGAGGTACATACAAAATGCACAATGCTCACTCGTTTCGTATTGGGGCCGGGTCAAGAACGGTTTAGTAAATGCCATTTCAGTCCCAGCCGGTCAATTACAACCCCTACCTTACGGAACAGCTCAGTCAGTATAGCGCTGGGCTACGGGCTGGACGTCCCGGATTCGATTCCCGACAGTGCAGGATTTTTCTCTTAGCCTCAGCGTCCCCACCGGCTCTACGGCACACCCAGCCTCCTATCCAATGGGTACCGGGGGCTCATTCCCTGGAGGTAAAACGGTAGGCAGCATGAAGCTGACCACTCACCTCGATCTAGTGCCGAGGTCAAGAATGGTACAGCTATACCTCCACTCCCCCCGATGTCTTCATGGACTTCAGTTTTTTACTTTTACCTCTATAATAAACATTCTACAAAGTTAATCTGAGCAGAACTGCTACATTATACAACAAAACAAACCCATATCATTATAACTCTCATGGACATCAACTTACGTTATAATCACTCATACGGCAGATATTCACCGAAATGGGTGCAAATGGTGCATGTCTCTTCTATGGTACTAAATCTACTGTCCGTCAGACAACAATAAACTTAGTATCTAAGCAATGTACTAACTTTAGTACCGCTTTCTTTGCTAAATCGCCATCACAAAGAGAAAGGGGCGGAAACACGCAAGTAAGACATTTGGTGATCTATCTAATCAATTCCATGTAGCAGAGAGGTCGCGGGTTCAAGTCCCCATGAGGTCACTGAATTTTTTCAATTGACCCAATCCTTCCAGCCGCACTATGGCCCTGAGGTCGACTCACCCTCTAACAGAAATGAGACCAGGAATTAAATACTTTTCCTGGGAAGTAAAGCGCGGCCGGCGCGTAAGGCTGACCTTACCGCCATCTTTGAGCCGATTGTCTAGATAACGTGGGGCCCTCAACGTCTCACAACCATATGGGCCTTCACGGCCTGGTACTGGGATAGCTTTACTTTTTTAATCTGTCCCTTCAGCTGGTCATTTCTTTCGCGGTCTTTTATGGAAACCGAAAACTCATTACTGTGTTCATAAGAGCCCGCCAATGGTCCGGACTCATCTGTTTAAGATCCATTTTAATATTCCATCTGCGCCTAGGTCTTCTAAACCGACTTCCCCTTAGGATTTTTTCCGGTAACTTTGCAGAAATCTTTCAGACTTCCGTGCTACAATACCTACCCATCCAATCTAACTTGATTTGGCGAATGATTAAGAACTGTGTGACTCCTCATTTGCCATTTTCCCCTCTTACCTGTTAACATCCTCTGTCTCATACCCAAATGTTCTTCTCAGTACCTCGTTCTCAAATACTCAGGTCTGTGTTCTTCCTTTAATACGTAAGCCCAAGTTTCACGCCCATACAAAACAAGAATTCTTCTTTCTTATAAGTTTTAACCTTTGCATTTCTAGGTAACAAATCCGAAGACAAACTATTCTGAAATAAGCAGTAGAAAATATTCCCTGAAATTAATTCGCTCTTAATTTCAAAGTGAAGAAATCTCTACCACTTTACTTCTGTCCATAATAGATGCCCTTATATTGTCACTTTATCCTACAATCTGAGGATGAGACATGAATGCATACTTAGTCTGCTCTGCGGTTTCTTCCGATGATTCCTTAACAGCCGCAAATACAGCCTATATATTTTCAATGTGGTAAACTGACACCACAGACTGGCATATCCCACTAAACTCCAAACCCGCCTGGTTTTCTTCTTGGACCTTCCCAATGATATCTTGTAAAATAAAGTTGAAAAACAATGCCGATAAGGCATCTCTGGACAATTATGAATATGAAATGCATCAAGAAAATGTCTGACAATACGGACATGCGTGTCTATAAGGACACACAGGTTCCGTATAAACGATTTTTGTCATCCGAACTAGATACCTCGTGGTTTCACCTTGCTGCATAAGATTTACAAAACTTCGCTCCTTGCTGGGTCACGCAATTCCAGTCAGAAAAAATACGTGAACTCAAAGTTAAGCCGTACAATGTTGACTCTTGTCCAGACAAGAATAAAATATGCTCAGAAACATAAACGTGTGAACAACGGGCTGTCATTAACTTGACCTTCACTGAACGGCACACAGGCCCTGTCACGTGGTGTTACGAACACTGCACTCGCTAAGATGGAACGGAAACTGACATACTGCACTACCAATAAAACCTGAACAAAAAAAAAACGAAACTCTTGTGACGGCGCGTATTGACGTCAATTCAAATTATACATTTCTTATAATTTAACCCTTGTACAGGGACAGGGAATGCAACACGCTCATCGTAAATCGTTCTGGAAATAGATCGCCCTACAAAACAGCAATTAAAATAACATCTATCACATCAATTAGGTTTAACGAATCAGACAAGAACCATTTCTTTTCCGCAAAGACAGACGAAATATAACCAGAGTACAAACCGCCACTATGAACATGATTTACACGTACGAGTGCTCGCGTAATCTGTGCACATCCACCGAACGTAGCACAGCTTGGTAAGATTAGCAGGTGCATCAATGTGCGTGCGTGTGCTGAGGGTACACAAAATGGAAACGAAACATAAACTGCAGTATCTGCGGGCTAGGATTCCCGCTCTGTGTACAGACTAAATAGGCACTTCCAAACTACACTTTCGGCAAAATTATATTAATGGCTCTATAAAGAACAAGCAATGACAACGCACATGCAATGCTCACCATTTGGACGTCCTCCACTTCGTCCTGGACCCGCTTAATGGGCGTCGTTGTTGCCGTTGTAACTGTTGATGACGTGGGTGATAATGTGGAAGTAATATTTGTCTCGTCACCGACTACCACAAGGCTATTTAAATTACTATAAACGTGGCTACTATTGTTGCCACTACTGGTGTGCCGGCTACTCTGCTGCAAGAAGTGCTGATAATGTTGGCTATGACTGTAATTGTTAGAAGACACAGCAGCAGCAGTTACTGTGGCTGCAGGGATTGTCGATATGTTGTTGCTTGAAGAATTTCGATTGTGATAACGCCCGACTGTCGGTACAGCTGTGGTTGTTGGCCCACCAGAGGGAAGACGAGGGTGGTAGTGGTAGGGAGGATGATATGCCGGCAGATTTGCAGGGGAAATCGTTGGGTTACTTGCCGTAGATGAAACAGATGAATTTCGTGCAACAAGTATGCAAGTGCTGCACTGGTTACAGCAACAGAAACAACTGCCGTTCGATGCTGAGGCGGAGGAGGTATAAGGGTAGGTGGCAAACGAAAAATAGGGAGGAGGAAAATACGAATAGGAGTGAAAATACAGGATGTCTGATTTACTTAAAGGTATCAAGTCCAAACAAATTTGTAAAAAAATGTACAACAAATCAAATGTTCTATCCAATGTAAATTTCCAACAGAATTATGTAAATACCCAAATTATTAACAATAAAATTTATCCTCCAAATAAATAACAAAACAGCAAATTAAAACAAAATGATTTAGAACGAAATTATTGTTCTTCTATGACGACAACAAACCTTCAGCATATATGCTTATAAAAACATTAACAAATTAACGTCAAAACGCAACAACTGTTGTAAAAACAACAATAAACGGATAAACGGATAAATTTTTAAAATCGAACCAACCCTCACACAGATATAAAACAATATTCTCCACGTCAGCTGATTAACACTATAAACAAATCACAGAACGCCGGGATAAATGTGACTTAGAACACTTACAAATTTCAACACGGATTTCATTCACAAAAAAAAAGGAGAGGTGGTTAGGGGGTGTGACAGTAAACAGGCTCGCAAAGCTCAGAAATAGTGTTTAGTGATGCTAGAGAACAGGCAGCAAATTAAGACCAGATATATGAAGAGTTAGGGGGGAAGCAGATGAATGAGAATAGGAGAAGATATGAGAATAGCAAGAAACGAAGAAAAGACACCCCCTGATAGGTGAATATTAAAACGAACACGCCGCCACAACGGATAGCAGTAGAGAAGACGTCAACAACGCCTAACCTGCAATAGGCCAAACTCACAACTGAGTGCAGGCTAGCTGGGCTTCGAACGCCACACAACCAGTTTGAATTCCCCTCACCCCGCTTCACAACCTACCAACATCCAACATACAAACGTTGGTAGCGCGCACGACCTACCGAAAACTTCCGGAAATTTACGATCACGCCCGAAACACAGTTGCAGTCGCGTATTCCCAATAGTACGGCGTGAATGACATAACTACTTACTTTCCAGTACTTATTTTATGGACAATTTGCGGCAAAGACGTTATCTTTATCATAATTAAAATGTGCACGTAGACTACTTGCGTTAACTAATTCTCCTTGCTTCATAAGAGACAGAAATGCAAGTACAAATATAACACCGACGTCTACTGCCAGAAATGTAACTGAGCTAGGAGCACATCGAACAACATAGTTCACTATTGCAATCCGCAGCCTACATGGCGGGCACGCGCACCACCCAGGTGAATTATCTGTGTTGCTTTTACCTACACTTCAGCATTTTTTCCATCCCTTTCGTTGGGACTACTTTTTCACTTCACTCTAATCCATATTCTGTCTCAAATTAATTATTCCTCTTCGTGCTGCAATAGCATGCTTCCTAAAATTTCAGCTTAAGTTCATAACCCTTTAGAAACATTCTCCTGGCATAACAGGAAAACCAACTTCCTCTCAAAATCAAATCTCTGTTGTTGCTGTTGTTGTTATATAAACGGCTATATTAACAGGTCCACGAAAACTGAGCTCAAAAATACACGGCGAACAAAAAAATGGAGTTCAAATGCGTAATTCCTTTCCCTAAAATACGCCAAAATGACTGTTTAACCCATGCAATATGAAACTGGAAGTCGATTTCGGCTACGCAAATCAATGCCGCTTTCACATGTATCTTCCCAAACCCAGTTTCAGTCGAAGCAGCGTCTCCTAAATTCAACTTCATCGGTTCTGTGGGAAACAAGCTTTGAACTGAATCTTGAATGTATTAACTTCAACATTCATACACAAGAATTTCAATCTAAGGCCCTAAATATCACACACACAACCTGATTCCTTCTTATGCCTTATCGTACCCTCCCTTACAGACGCTTGCTCCTTTTTAATCCAAAGTTTTCATCTCTCTCCCTCCCCGGTCCCCAAGAAACATCATCATGCACCTCTCTCCACCTTTCTGGCCTCGCCTTTTCTGGTATGTCCAACCTCTTTCCTTTTTAAATCTCTTGCCTTTCGACTTTCTTGCTCATACTGTTCCCTCCATTTCACCTGCTCGTTCTCAAAATAGGCCTACATCTGGGGGGCGTACCCCGAAATGCTATAGAAAACGTATGTTCATACCCTTTCCCCTCAGTTGCCCCCGCCCTCCCGGCACGACAATGGCACCTGCGCAAATCCCATCGAACAGTGCTTCTGCAAAAAGGAGCCTTGCTGCAGCTAGCAAAATCCCCTCCACCCCTGGCCCCTCGCCAAAGCCGGGGAGCGCCGCGACGAAACCTCCTCACGAAACCTGCACACACCTGATACTTATATATGATACGCTGCTGGTGGCGAACGCAATGATCGGGGCACTCCAACGACTGTACCTAACAATATCGGAAGGCCATAATCAGTCATTTGTTCGGTGGCACAGGGGGAAGGAACTCCGGGTACCAGTTTAATTCTCGTAAAGTTTTCCTGTGCTTAAGCGTCATGGTCTGGCATAGAAGTGGGACAGATGTAAAACTCTGCGCATTCTTAACCTTGGTACAAGCCTACACTTCCGTCTAGGGCCGAGATTACGTGTGGTGCAGCTATAATCCCACCCACCCCCATACATTTTCATGGTATGGTGCTTAATTAATTTAGCGCGGGGGTAATTTTACCTTTTGCCTTTGTCCAATAACAGTACTGAAGAAAGTCCCCAACAGCTAGGTTCATTAAACTGTAGTATGCTACGGGTCGGATACGTGGACGTGCAGACCTGCGCCTGGTAATTTTGTTCATAACTGAACACCGAACATGGCTCCCTTGTAAACAATTTGACAGAGGCACGCATGGCGGAAGTAAATACACGAGACCTGTATTCTGCTTGTAGGGGAAATATGAAACAATAGAAGACATATACACAATGCCTATGCGTATACAGCGTCCCCTTTTTGGATGAGAATCAAAATGACCTGGAAAGGGTATGGTAAGAAGCGCCGTGGCATACTTTAAGGTACTGTCCCAGAATCTATTTGCAGGGACCGAGAAAATCCACAAAACAGCTCAGACTGGGAAAACGATGTTCCGGCCGAAATTAGAAGCAGGTACCTACAGAATACAAAACAGATCGACACCGCTTCAGCCCAATTGCTAAGCACGCACGCACACACACTCATACGTGGGATATTAAACGAATCTTCCACATGGAAGTATAAAAATGTAGACTGGATTCTATTGGTTTCCCATAATCCTCTTCCCTTGCTTTTGTGATGGCGGTGACGGACCTTCAGGAAACAATCAGGCAGAGAAGTTTCTGCAATGTTCATTACATCGAACTGTTAGTTCAGCCAGAGACCACAACACCCTGACCACCGAAACAAACATTTCAATCGAGCCATGGGACTAATGCGAATTTGCGCAACTAAAACCATGTAGCTTTCGTCTACTTGCCGGGCTTCGTGTGTTACCACATATTTAAAAACATGTGTAACTGCAGAATTTTAATCCGACATACACAGGTCTGTCATAAACACACAGTTACACAGAGACCCTTAACATATATCCTAATATTACAAGGAAAAAATGTAATTAGATATAAGCCCTTGGCGCGGAACGTATGGAAAACACGCTTTCCAACAGTTCCTCCACCGTTGCCTGCCCATGTTACCTACCGATGGCTCTGGTATTGTTGTGTACTTACGGAAGTGTTGCCTAGCAATGGCTATTTCTCTGTTACTGGCCTAGACTCGAATATCGCGAAGGATAACCATGTCTGTGCCGACTATGGGCTCCAGCAACATCGTCTTCACAGCGAACTCGAAACTTTTCCCTGGATGGCCCAGCGGCTATGTGAGCACTCATCCCCATCCCGGCTGTGTCAGGGCAGTATGCTTGTCTCTGCAGGAGGAAGCTGGGTAATACAGTTACTGGGACTCTGAATGCCACCCTCCACATCACTGTCGTACTCAACGTTCAAACCTGTCTTATCTCGTTCGATTTTGTATGACCTATGTAACCGAACATTGAGCCTAATCTTACAATAAATACAAAAATCACTCGGGTAAGGCGGATGGGGCGTGAGGCTGGCCATTAAACTCATTTTAGTAACTGTGATCAACTTACGTACTGGCCTACACTTACAAGACAATGTTAGGCAAAGTGGCAACATCGGCCTTGCAGTCGCACCTTAAGTTGCTTATGCGTCTCATGTGAACAACACAATGTAAGAGGAGCGACGATACCAGGGGCAGTGGAGGTCAACATGGAATGTCTTGTATCTTTACGGTGTTGCCAAATTACTTCACTACGTTGCACAGCTGTTAGGTCACATATGAATGCTCCTGACCAACAGAAAAATACTGACTGATGCCTACTTGAATTCCGAATAAAAACCGATCCACCTAACCTCCGACTTTCCCCCTGGATATTACCCCAATACTACCAGCAACACTCACGTGTTGGGCAAGTTACTACTCCAACTTTGGAACTTACAATTTGAAAATAAAAAATCCAACTATAAGACACAGTACGGACTAGATTCTAATGTACTGCGACATACTGGATTTTGTGAACATGGCGATGAACCTCTAGGATCGTTCAAAATGGCTAAATTGTTGATCAACTGAAGAACAATTTGCACCACAGAGATGGCTGGCCGGTTGTTCAGTTTCTTTAAAGAACTGAGAGCATCGACTGATTTCAGTCCTACAAAATAGCAATGCCGCAAGTTCCATTACGAGCAACCTCAAAGGAATGGTATTGATCTTAACTCTGCAAAACATCATCACAGTGTGAATGAAAAGTTCTCGACAGTGGGCCAACAGTCCTGACATCACTTCCACTTACGCCGGACACAAACTGAAAGTTAGTCCGATAGTAAACCCATCAAATGCGGCCCAGACTTTCAAAAAGCAAGCTCGTACTAAGGCAAAGCACAGCCACTGCGATACATGAAGTCCAATTCAAAATTCGCCGTGTAAATGTTGCTTCCAAATTTAAATTCTAGACTCTATCAAAGAAGAGAAGAGCTGAAATGGGGAGGTCGTGTCTGAGTGTCTGCATTAAATCCTACAAGAAATTGCGTGCTTATCAGCGCATTGCGGAATTCTTGATAGCAAGCACTGGTATGTTACCAGATATTGGAATGCTTCTCGAAAGTTCTGAGACATCGACAGACCTCACTACACCGCAACTATAATGTGCATTTTTACGTGAGGTTTTCACCGGGGAGTCTACGAATATTACTGCCAACTGGGATGTGACTCCGTACTGTCTGGTATCTACGTTTCTGAAAAAAAAATATAGTGTCATGTTCAAGGTAGAAGGGTCTACTAACCTAACCTGAAGACGGAAGCAACATATTCCCCGAAACGCCGGTATCTACAATGCTATAAGGCGTCACATCCGACAATGCAATATTTCCATGATGTGCTTCGACCACTGCGCGAAGTATACTGCGTGTAATCCATGTGGCATTTCGGCGAACTGCTCTACTCCGGTCTTCTTCAGGCACTTGGCTGTCATGAAATTTACAAACGTTTCACCAAGATATCGCAAAGAAAACGCCGCCACAACAGCTGCGTGGTAGGATGAGCGAGCGGCTTGGTCCACCCGAATATTCGGGTTCCGGTTTCGAACACCGCCTGTAGCACTAATGCAATATAGTGCTGTTTTCCTGCGGTGCGTAGAGGCCTCACTTTGGATCGACTGCTAGCGCAGCGACTTCTGCATCTTTTGTGGGTTATTTCATGGCGCTGTCACCATCGAAAGGCATGATGATTAGTAAATAATGAAGATCTGGAGAGAAGTGGCCGTGACCTAATCGAAGTACTATGCCCCACATTGTGAGGGAT